AAAAGCACATTGGCTTCTCTTTCATCAACACACGATGAAGTACTTGTCACATTTTTGAATGATCAGTTATCGCTCAGCTTCTGAGACGTGCAGACGTTTTCTCGATTGCGCTTATCACTAGTGAAGCATTTACGTTTTGGATACCCTTCTATCCGCTGCGCCGCGTCGCGTGCAAAAGTGTTTCGCGATGTGGCGAGAAAACACTTTTAAGATTGACTATTCGCAGTTCTCCGTCAAGCCGTCGGTCGAAAAACTCTATGGTTTTTGTCGTGCGGTTCTCGGTCTAAATAGGGAAGACATTAAAAGACCTCAGTGCCACAGAGGTGGAGCATGTGCCTTCGTCAAAGTCAGTGACTTGACGCTGGCACAAAAAGTCGTTGACGAACATGACGGGAAGCATGAAGTGGAGTGTGAGGGGAAGAAACACAAGCTTCGGATCACGTTGGAAGATGGTAGTGTTGAAGTGCGGGTTTACGACCTTCCCGAATATGTGTCTGAAGAGAAAGTCTTCAGTTTCCTAAGTGCGTTCGGGGAAGTGATCTCAGTTCACGAGGTATCGTGGGGTGAGAGCAACGAATGTGAAGGCATACCGCTCGGCATATGGTCTGCTCGTATGCTAGTGAAGCGGAACATTGACTCGTGGGTCACCGTTGATGGAGAGCAAGCGTTCGTTGTTTACAAGGGACAGCTGCAATCCTGCCGCCACTGCAAAGAGCAAGCGCACACTGGCATATCATATGTCCAGAACAAAAAGCTACTGTACCAGAAAAGCTACGCGAATGTCACGAAGCAAACTGGACAGGCCAATAGGTCAACAGCCGGTCAGCAACCCAAAAAAGCTGGTGCGAAACCACCAAACACGAAACTAGTCGGTCAAAAATCCACTACTCCGCCATCGTTAAAGTCAGACGTTTTCCCCGAACTGCCGAAGAGCCAGAGTGAATTCTCAGGCCCGAAAACACACACGCGCAGCCAGCCTGCAGCAGGGTCTGCGCAAATACAACGAGCGCACAATGCGTCAAGTTCGTTCCTAACACCACCACAAGCTGTCGTGGCTTTGGATGACGTGTTCAAAAAGCCAGAAAATGAATCCTCCGCTTCCACGAGCAGTAGACGAAGCCGAGGAAAACCAGCCGGTAAAAAACCCCGCCGGGAAGACGACGACGACGAGAGGGACGAGGACAATCGCTTATAAATGGCTCTCACGTCGTACAACATCTCGTCCATCAACATCGGCACCATCACGAACCCCACGAAACTGAACGCGCTCCGAAGCTTCATAAACAGCCATAGCCTCGATATCGTGTGTCTACAAGAAGTAAAGAACGAGCAGCTCTCCTTGCCTGGCTACGTCGTTTTCTTCAATGTGGACCATACGAGAAGGGGAACAGCTATTGCCCTGAAGGATCACATCCAGGCCACTCACATCGAGAGAAGCTTAGATAGCCGACTGCTTGCGCTGAGAGTGCAAGACACAACGATCTGTAACGTTTACGCTCCCTCCGGCTCTTCGCTACGTGCAGCTCGGGAGAACTTTTTCAATGGGACGCTTGCCTACTATCTCCGCCATCGTACCACGCATGTCATTCTGACCGGCGATTTCAATTGCGTGCTTCGAACAAGTGATTCTAGCAGCCCAAACACTAGTCCCGCCCTCAAAACAGCCGTCCAGCAACTGCAGCTCCACGACGTATGGGAGAAACTGTGTCCGCGTGATCCAGGTTTCACGTACGTCTGCCGTAACGCACAGTCGCGACTCGATCGTATTTACGTCAGTAGTGATTTGCACGATCACCTGCGAGCAGCACATGCACACGTCTGCTCATTTACCGACCACAAAGCGCTGGTACTCCGACTTTGTCTCCCCCATCTTAGTCAAGAGCATGGCCGTGGGTTTTGGTCCCTTCGGCCCTATCTTCTGAGTGACGAGAACGTTGCCGAGTTCCAATACCAGTGGCAATATTGGACCCGGCAGCGCAGAAACTATGGCTCCTGGATCGAATGGTGGATTTTGTTCGCTAAGCCCAAGATAAAATGCTTTTTCAAGTGGAAATCTCGAGCCGTCTTCGATGAATTATACAGTGAACATCAGTATCTCTACAGCGAGCTTCGGTTAGCCTACGACGAGTACTACCAGCACCCTGAAATGATAACCACCATAAACCGGTTGAAAGGTGAAATGCTAGCACTTCAACGGAGATTTTCCTACACGTTCATGCGAATGAATGAAACACATGTGGCGGGAGAACCCATGTCAATATTCCAATTGGGGGAGAGGTGAAGGAAGAGAACCGTCATCACGCAGCTGCAGACAGAACAAGACGAAACGGTAGCAGAGCCACGAGCGATCGAGACGCATATGATGGACTACTTCTCGACGCTGTACTCGGAGGAGGAAACAGAAGAGAATGAGAACAGTTTCGTCTGCGAGAGTGTTATCCCACCCAACGACCCATCGAATGAAGCCTGCACGGACGACATTACGACGGCAGAAATCTGGTCTGCAATAAAAGCGAGCGCCCCACGAAAATCTCCCGGCGGCGATGGTATTCCGAGAGAGTTCTACCACCGCATGTTCGACGTCATCCACCGAGAGTTGAATCTGTTGATGAATGAGGCACTCAGCGGTAATCTACCTCCAGCGTTTGTCGATGGCATCATCGTACTGGTTAAGAAGAGAGGCGGCGACGACACAGCCCGTTCATATCGTCCGATCTCGCTGCTCAACAGCGACTACAAGCTCTTCTCCCGCATTCTCAAAACCAGACTCGAGCAAGTGATGAGAGAGCACCACGTCTTGAGCGACGGGCAGAAATACTCCAACTCAGAGCACAACATATTTCAAGCCACTCTTGCTCTCAAGGACCGGATAGCACATCTCCGCCACCACCGCCGTGCCGGGAAGTTAATCAGCTTTGATCTCGATCACGCTTTCGATCGGGTCCGGCACTCTTTTCTATTCGAAATCATGCGCTCGCTCGGCTTCAACCAGGATCTCATCGCTCTACTCTCGCGAATCGCCAGCCGGTCCACCTCTCGGCTGTTGATCAATGGGCACCTTTCTCGTCCGTTCGAAATTCAACGCTCTGTACGGCAAGGGGATCCGCTATCAATGCATCTCTTCGTTCTTTACCTGCATCCACTAGTGTGCAGACTCGAAAGAGTGTGCGGGAATGATCTGCTGGTGGCGTATGCGGACGACATCAGTGTGATCGTCACATCGACCAGGGAAATCGATGAGATAAATAGGCTGTTCACTCGTTTCGAGAGAGCTGCTGGCGCAAAATTAAATTTGCGGAAAACTGTTGCCGTCGAAGTTGGCCTTTGCGAAGGCAACAGAATCAACACTCAGTGGCTACAAACAGTCATTGTAGTTAAAATTCTGGGTGTTGTTTTCGCAAATTCAATACGACTGATGACAACGATGAACTGGAATGCGCTAGTGGGGAAGTTCGCGCAACAAATGTGGCTGCATACTCTGCGCACGCTGACGCTGCACCAAAGGGTCATCATGCTCAACACGTTCGGAACGTCCAGGATATGGTACCTCGCGTCCATACTACCGCCGTTGGGAGTGCATACGGCAAAAATCACATCAGCAATGGGTACGTTCCTCTGGAGAGGGACTGTCGCCCGTGTCCCAATGATGCAGCTGGCACGGTAACGGTAACGGTAGAATTGATTTAGCTGATTTGAACTTTCATCTTGATGTAGCAAATTGACGGTAAAACAAAAAAAACTTTGTATGCTAAACTGACAAATAAAACTTCACCTTTACAAAAAAAAAAAAAGGCCCAGCCAATGGTGAATTCGAGGCCGCTGACTTACATTCCTTTGGGGTCAGCTGAACAGGAAGCACTAGTGGTGTCAACAAACCAACTAGATTGCCAGTGGGTGATATCGTAACACTTCGTTCAAGCATTGTCAACACTTGCTGGATCAATTTTGGACTAGATGGATCAAGGACTATCTTCCTACTATTACGAAACAGACTAAATGGTTGGAAGATAAAGGATCAATTAAAGATGGAGATTTGGTTATCATTGTGGACGGGCGCATACGAAATAGTTGGACGAGAGGACAAATGGTGTAGGTGTTCCCGGGACGAGATCAACGCGTTCGTAAAAGGTGAAAACAAGTAGGACTGGAATTTTCCATCGACTGGCAGTTTTAGATATAGATCGTAGAGCAATACAGGCTGGGGAATGTTGTTGTAGAACAGGTAGGCGCTGCGTAGATTCAACTTAATTGTGGAATAGGAGTAGGCATTGGAAGTTAGGTGAACATAATCATTTCCAAAAGACCGAAGTCCAAGAGACAAGACCTGATTTGTTGCACGAATATTAGAAGATGAAACTATAAATGTGAGACAGAATATACAGAACGACAGTACAGCGCCACCTAGAGCCGCAAATGTGAAAGTGGCTCGTTCCGCCATTTGTCGATTTTTCCCATACAAACTTCGATCCTAAATTACTTCAAATTTTGGCAGGGTGTTTCTGACACCCCAAACTACCATTCCTGGAGGTAGCGTTTGAAATTCCATACGTTTTTTTTTCATATATCACTGAAACACTCCAATGGTGAGTCACAGACACCTCATTGATGCAAAATACTAAGTAGAAATAAATGCTAACTTATCACTTAAGTATAAATTCCGCTTGTCGATAGCATTGTTGACCTGCGCACTCCACAGGGGATCTGAATAAGTGGCATAAAGCATCCGAATCGAAGTGGTTGCTCAACGCCATATTGACGAAAGAACAAACGTAGGATAATATTTTATCGCGCCGCGGTACTTATCGATATCATCATTCCGACGAACGCACTCTTTCCCGCCAGAGAGAGACAATTGCAGCAGCGAAAATGAACTGCTCAATACAGTCGTTCAATTAGTCATTTACTGATAAAGGCTAACCCGTTATCATCGCCACCACCGTTTGTGACCTCGCGCAGAAGCAAACAGCGCACGGCCGTTCAAATGATTCAACCACACCCACCTGATGCATGGTGGCTAGCTGCAACGCTTCGAAACCTCCAATGATCCTGAGGTCGCTTCCGTCGTATCCTTCCCCTGTCGGTAGGGAGCTTACAGCGACCATAGCCAGCACGGCGACCGTAGTCGCCAGGAACCGAATCTTCTCCGTCGTAGACGTACACATTTTCCCTCACAACTCTAGTAGACGGGCTAACTACGAACTGTCCCGGATCGTCGCGCAAACTGGACTGGTTGATTGGCGGGACAGTCAGCGCCGCGTTATCAGCCCCCCGGAAGAATCCTGCCGATTGATGGTGAGAGTGTTGTCGTTATCGATGATAGGTATTATGGCTTCGAAAATTTTCGGCTGGACGCGCGAAGTGCACATGGCTTCAGCCTAGTGTTCGTGTGAAGGTTACACGCGGTTACAGTTCTGCGCGGGAGACAGTGAGCGATTGCACATTAATTGGTGATGATAAGTCGATTGGAGGGAAAGCATATCTTATCGAACCCGTTGGAACGTGATTGGTGCTGTTCTATGGCGTTTCCTTCCAGTTGTCGTCGCCGTCGCCGTCGGTGGGCATTCGTCATTTTTTTCACGGCTACGACTGGTGCTTGATTGTTTGTTTTACGACGATTATATTAAAGCACTACAGATTGACGGTTTATGGATATTGGAAATTGGGTAATTCATTATCATGATGAATCATGGCACTCCAAACTAAACCTGACTTCTGCCAGTCAGTGGTCGTGGATGTGAAGTGGCCTTGTATCGGTTTCAACTGCAAAAAAACGAATCACCAGATAAAAAAATATAATGTACTACAGGCGTCGACTATAGATAGTGTGGTTCATGAACCGATTTTGCCGTGTTACTTTTCAGAAAGTGTGTTTGAAGGTGCAAACAGTGGGATTCAAGGGAGAAAGGCATGTTCGATGGTGGACTTCAGGGACGTGTTGAACTGGTATATCCGACAGGGTGTCTGCGACCTGAAATAAAATTGGTGCGGTAGTGTACGAGACACGACCGCATGGTTGACGTAGACTACGTTAAGCTGTGTAGTGAAATTCTCGTGCATTTTTCTAGATATTGATTTAAAATACCGTAGAGATATGATTTCGGTCCTATGTACATATTTTGGATTTCTTACTTAGTAAAACTTGGTTAAATTCAGGACCTCATAAAAATGCGAATATATAGGGGAAATGGATGTAATGTCGGCCTAAATGCTCCTAATTTCGGCCCATACATAAATTCAGCAATCGACTAAATTTTCAATAGCGACCAAAAATATCCATTAGTACCGTCTCAATGACGCCTTCATCTAGATAAAGTTGATTAATAGCTGATTTTTAGCGATGGGCCCAATCTTAGATCCATAGGCCAACATTAGAGCCATTTCCACTATTCTATTAGTAAGGCTTTCTTCAGGTGATTCATTGCAGCGTCCAACAATGACTTCAAGGTTTGGCACAAATCTTGGACGGTTGTGACATCACTCATGAAATTGGTCATCGGGCGATATTCGCCGGGGAGACCAGCCAGCAGCTACGTTCCTATCCATTAATCGGAGATCGGGAAATTCATCCCGTTCAGTTGATGAGCAGTGGTCACAATTCGGTTGACGTAATCGTCCATTGATGAGCAAGCAGACAGCGCGGACAACTTGGATACACCAGTGCAGCTCACACCCCAAGGCCTGTTCGGTGGTATCGCAACCGCAGTCGACATGGCCGTAGCTGAGGGACCACTACCAAATGGCGATCCGGATACGTACCAAGAGGCACTGTCGCGGGAAGACGCAGCACTCTGGAAGCAAGCGATGCGCTCAGAGCAAACGACACCTGGACCACGAACGAACTGCCTGCTGGTCCGAAGCCGATCAAATGCAAATGGGTCTCTAAGACCAAGCACGGCGCAAACGGCAACGTGGACAGACACAAAGCACGCCTAGTCGTAAAAGGCTTCTCGCAGCGAGAGGGGGTGGACTATGATGAGACCTACTCACCCGTGGTTCGTCATAGCTCCCTGCGGTACCTTTTCGCCTTGAGCGCCCGGCATGGACTGGCTATCGAACAAATGGATGCTAAAACGGCGTTTCTCCAGGGAGAATTAAAGGAGGAAATTTACATGGAACAGCCTCCGTGTTTCCAAAACTCCCATCAGTCAAGACTGGTTTGCCGTTTGAATAAAGCTCTATACGGACTCAAACAGTCCAGTCGCGTATGGAACGATAAACTCGATGCTGCGGTGCGAAGGTTTGGATTGACTCCGTCAAAGTACGACCCGTGTCTCTACTATCGCATCGAAAGCAACCGGATGATATTTATTGCAATCTACGTAGACGACGTGCTGGGTGACACGTATCGCATGAAGGACCTAGGATCAGCAAGTTCGTGTCTCGGAATACGGATTACTCGTGACAACGATGCCGTAGCTCTGGATCAGGAAGCATACATTGAAGCGATGCTGTCCCGATTCAACATGCAACATGCGAAGGCAGTGTCGACTCCGATGAACTCAAGCTTGAAGCTGATCAAAGAGATGGCTCCGCAGACCACGGATGAAGCTGCAAAAATGAAAGAGGTGCCGTACCATGAGGCTGTAGGCAGTTTGATGTATCTAGCGCAATGCACCAAAACTGATGTACTATTCGCCGTTAACCAACTGAGTCGCTTCAACACGAATCCAGGAGTCAAGCATTGGGAAGCGGTTAAACACCTGTTTCGGTACTTACGAGGTACGTCGATGCTCAAGCTGCAGTACACCATGGGTTGTAGTACTGTCCTAATTGGTTACTCCGATCCGGTGCGGTGTCCTGGTGTTGCAAGCGGCAACCCACAGTTGCCCTATCGACTTGTGAAGCCGAGTACATGGCTTTATCTGCCGCCGTACAGGAAGCCATGTGGTGGCGTGGTTTGATCAAACAACTTGGACTGGATCAAACCATCGAGCTTTGCTGCGACAATCAAAGCACTATATGCATTGCCACGCCGCGTACCAAGCACATAGACATACGTCATCACTTTATACGAGACGCCCTCGACCAGAACATCGTTCGGCTGAAGTACGTGAGCACCGATCAACAGATTGCGGATGGCGGCCTAACGAAGACTCTTGAACGGATTAAGCTGTAGCGAAACCGAGTTGCTATGGGGGTGGACGCATCAGCTTAAGAGGGAGTGTTGAGATAGTAGTGTAAGCTAAGCTACATCTGTTCTTTATATCTGTGGCAGAGTAGAATTTATCCAACTTCTGTGTAGTTCACGCTCACCGTGTAGAACTATTTATTCTCTGCCTGTACTGTACTTTTCCCTTCAATTCTAAAATTCTGCGCGTGTTCTCTCTTTAATAGGAACTCCTTGTGTACTGCACTGCAGCAAACGTGAAGTTCCAGTTTCTTTGTAATAAGTTGTGTGAGAGCTGATATTTGTGCTCTTGAAATTTTTGTATGGTACTGAGATTTATCAGAAATAAGGTTTCCACAGTTGATCGGGAATATCTCGATTAGCCATAAATCCCTCCAATGAGTTCTTTTACTACCGATTGAGCAAAAATAATTACTAAATATTGCTGTATTTGAAGATTTCGTTTGCGTTTTGTAGATGCACATGCATCATTTGGCATAAGAACAAGGGGCATTTCTGTGGTGGGAAAAAAGTGACTTCCATATCTACCACAGATTACAAATTCGACAGTGAGCATGCATAAGGGCGTAAACGCGATGGTCGATTCTCTCTTTTGTTAATAACTCACTTGGATTAACACATCTCGGTGCGTTTGCTGTTGCCTTTGATAGCCAATACAACCTGTTACAGGTTACTAGCACTACATTGAACAAATTTAAGATAATATTCAAGCTGAACATTGCCTTAGGTCCTAAGTATAACATTGATCGATTCTCTTCGTCGACTTCCTCTTTCGTTAATAACTTGAGCACCAACCGTTTCTTGCTGTCATCGATTCTCTGCTTGTCCGTCAAGCAGTTCAGTCCGGTTTTTGCTCGCTCTGTCGAGTTGTTCGATGGTTTATTCCAAACGTTTATTCGCATCGTCAGTAGTGTCGGTCGCATCGTGTGATGGGAATACAGCGCTCCCGGAACAGGCTCCATGAGAAAGCGGAGAAGAACAGTGGTGAGGGTAGCACGAGTGTACCTATTTCAAATAGCTACGCTACTCTTCCCACCGATGTTGGGAAAACCACCTCCGTCACGGTGAAGCGATCCAAGAAGAGGAAGAAAAACCAGGGCCAATCCGATGGTGCGAGTGGACGTGACGATGTCACCGCGCGACATCGGTAAATTCGGCGACGCCATTGACAACGAAAATTCTGCCGGTCCTAGTGCGGCAAAAGTAAAGCTACCTCCATTGGTAGTGAAAAATGCCCATCTTAATGAGCTCATCGCGGATGTAGCGACGCTGGGCATTAAAGCCGAATACAAGTTGGTCAGAGTCGGCAACAAGGTGGTGCTCCGTACCAAAGCGGAGTATGACTTGGTCGTCGCCCACCTGAGGTCTTCCAAGGAGCCGTACAAGGTCGTCATAAAGGACCTACCAAACTTCGACCCGAAGTTTATCGAAGCTAAAATCAGGAACCGGTACAGGCTGGCCCCAAGTGCCGTTTATCGGATGACAAGAAGAGATGAGAATGTGAAGGCGTATCCAGATTGCCTTTTCCTGGTACACTTCCAGAAGGGAACGGTGACGCTCAACGTGCTGAAAGCCATCCGCTCCATCAATTCCATCATCGTCTGTTGGGAGCCATACCGTGGCGGCCATCGCGATGTGACTAAGTGCCAACGGTGTCTGAACTTCACACACGGCACCCGCAACTGCAACATTAAGCCACGCTGCGGCAATTGCGCTCAAGATCATGCCACCTCCGAATGTGCTGCGGATGAAGCTGTGGCGTCCAAATGCGCCTGTGGTCCTGCGTGGTCTACCCGACATGAACATCGCCGCGCTGTCGGATGAGCTGAAGAAGAACGGTCTAAAACCGTTGCAAGTCTTCAAGATGAATCGGCACGACGTCTCCCTTAAGTACCGTGACCAGCTGTATTTGGTCCACCTCGAGCGAAACACAACGTGTTTGAACGACCTGCAGTGTATTCGGGCGTTTTTCCACATCGTGGTTAAGTGGGAACGCTACCAACCTCGCCCCCGTAACGTCACCCAATGCCCAAACTGCCTCATGTTTGGGCACGGGACCAAAAATTGACACATGGCTCATCGCTGCAACGAATGTGGCAAGCAACACGCACCCGAAGAATGCCAGAGGATGGAGAACACCGATCCACAATGCGCCAACTGTGGTGCAGCACATCGAGCTACCATGGAAATCCGCAAAAGAGCCTCCACGCAGAACCAGCCGGGTCGAAAAAAGGTACCGGCACGCAATGAGCAGAATTGCCCCACCATTCTTCCGCCACTACCGGTCAACAACCGTTTGGCTGCTGCTGCTACTGCTGCATGAGTCCCGCCAACTGCTGAAGTGCCAAACCATCCGGCTAATCCGACCCTTCAGTCCTATGCGGCAACGGTTTCGTTCCCTCCCCCGGGACTATCGTGGCGTCGAGATGATGCCCCACCATCGCATGAAAACGAAGAGCTACTCACAACAGAGGAACTCATTACCATCATGGCAGAAGCAATCATCATCAAGCGCTCCTGCAGAACCAGAACCGAGCAGATTCTTGCTGCATCACGTTTCATCAAGATCGCCAACTGGAATGCTTGCTCGCTCAAGAGCAAAATCCTCGAGTTCGTTGACTTCCTCAACAAACAAAACATCGACTTTGTCGTTATTACCGAAACCCACCTGAAACCGGAGGTAAACGTCTACCTTCCTGACTTCCGGCTTCTAAGACTTGATCGAACCAGCTCCGAGGGAGGAGGAGTTACCATTGTTGTATGGAGAAACATCTGCTGTCGGCTTCTGCCGAGCTTCCAGCTCAAAACCATCGAAGCTTTAGGGGTAGAAGTCTCCACTCCTGTCGGCCATATCACCATCATTGCGACCTACTGCCCCAAGCAAGTCACCATCAGGGACGGGTCGGCAGCAGACCTGTGGAGGGACATCATCAAACTAACTCGACGGCGCGAAAAGACCTGAACGCCTAACACCAGGCTTGGGGCAACAGTCGATGCAACCAAAACGGCATCATCCTGACCGACGACCTGCAAAAGGCTCGCTACACCATATTTGCGCCGGACTGTTCCTCCCGGTTGAACTGGTCTGGTGTTCACTCTACGATAGACATCTTCATCAGCAACATGGGAGACAACATCTCGCTACCTGTGACCCATCAGGAGCTGAGTTCGGGCCACTATCCGGTGGTGGCCGAAGTAGGCTCATCCGTCAACCGAATCCAAGCTTCCCGACGCAACTACCATCGTGTCAGCTGGGATCAGTTCCAACACTGTGTCGACTACGGTGTCCTTCCGGAGACGCCCGAATATGTTGACTGGTGTCTGCGTTCCATCGAGGAGGCGATATCCCGGGCCAGGGAACAACACGTGCCAGTATCCAGACAGGTGAGCAATACTCTGAACCTTGATAGAATTACCAAAGATCTCATCAGACTCCGTAACTCCATCCGAAGGCAATACCAGCGTTCTGGTTTACGTGTCTTGAATACCCATTGCAATCGTCTTACAAAAACCATCCAAGCCAGGATGGTGGACCTCAGGAATTTTTCTAACAAGATCCGGTCTCTCCCAGATTGTGCAAAGCCCTTCTGGAAACTAACGAAAATCCTTAAAAATAAGCCAAGACCCATTCCATCACTGACCCCACTGGATCGTCCCGGCGGGTCAGTGGTTCATCTGATAACTCCTGAAGAGAAGGCTGCCGCGATAGGTCAACACTTCGTCAGCTCCCATAATCTCGGACAATACATCGTCAGCCCTCATGAATCTGAGGTTGCTGAAAATGCAACCAATCTCCATCAGATTCCTAACATTTTTCCAGAGGAATCCGAGATTACGGCTGACGAACTGTTGGCCTTTATCAAATCATAAAAACATAAAGGCCCCAGATTTCGACAACATCCTGAATCTGGAACTCAAACACTTGAGTTCCAGATTCTACAACCATCTGGCGCTGATTTTTAATCAGTGTCTCAGACTTGGCTACTTCCCCTCGTGTTGGAAGTCAGCTAAAGTCATACCCATCCGGAAACCTGGGAAGGATCCGTTCTCTCCTCCAAGTTATCGACCAATCAGCCTTCTCTCAGGGTTATCAAAACTGTTCGAAACAGCTGGGGTTCCACAAGGAAGCATCCTTGGCCCCATTCTATTCAAGCTGTTCACTTCCGATATGCCGGCTCTCCCTGATGGTGGATCGTTGTCTCTGTTCGCAGATGACACATCCATCGTCTACAAGGGTAGGGTCATCGGAGCTCTGACTGCCAAACTTCAGAGAGGCCTGGACGTCCTGTCTGAATATTTCAACAGCTGGAAGATCCGTATCAACGCAGCAAAGACCCAGGTCATTATCTTTCCACACTCAAAATCTCCCAGACTTGTTCCGTCGGTGAATAATAAGATCTGCTTAAACGGGTCAGTGGTGGAATGGTCCAAAGAGGTCGTGTACCTCGGGCTAACATTAGACAGCAAGCTTCTTTTCAGGGAGCACATTGACAAAACCAAAACCATGCCAATCTGGGAGAGTTGCGCCAAATGCCATCACCTCAAACTCCAAAACAAGATCCTTAACAGTCCCCCGCGGACTAGAAATTCTGAGGTCCACCGCCTGGCTGGTCTTCAGACACTGGAGTTACGAAGAGCTGACTCCATCGCAAGGTTCAGAGATTGCTGTAGGCGATCCGATCAACAGATCGTCAGGGATCTAGCACGTTAGGTTAGGTAGGTAGAATAACAAATTAAAACCTTCAAACAACATATGTACTTCACAAGAAGAAAATTGCAAAACATTACACAGTAAAACACAACATGTACAACACAAAATCAAAAAGTTCACCAAAGATGAAGAGCCCTTCTGGCTAACATAAAAAATCAAAATAAAGAAGAATTTTACTGCTACTATCTTCTTTTATCGTGGTACCGAATTGCTGGATAATTAGGTTGAAAAACCTGCCATGATTTCGGTCCGTTTGAAGAAGGTCCCAAACGGACCGAAACGTTGGACAAAACATAAAATAGCAGTATTTTGATTTTGTCGAGACTGAAAAGCCATTCACAACACACTTATGATATTCCGGCACTTTCTCGTGCTCCCAGTCGCTGGGGGAAGAAGTATTATGTATGAAGATTGAATTACTTTATGCAACGATACTAGAAGACAAGGCCATGTATTTGGGTAGTGAGATATGTGGCGAAAATGGTGAAAAACACTATCCTCTGCCTACAGGTGGGACTCGAACCCACACCTCCCAGTAAGCTAGACGAGCGCTCTACCGTAGACTTGATGCTACCGTCATCAATCTTACGAAGCAGTGATGTTATAAAGACGGTCCAACTCCCCTGGTAAGCGGGATGTGATTCATCATTCTCCCATGACTGAACCACCACTTCTCTCAGACCGAGCAGCTAACCCCCCTGTCAACATGAGAACGTAGTGGTGAACAACTGTCATCAAAACTCTACTCACTCCGATACTGGTAGGCACCCAAGAGAACATGTAATGTAAATTGTAATGTTCCGTAGCTGTGGAATTTCAAGATTTTATCCTCAAAAGTGTGGACTTCATCCCGGGATGTGTGTTAAAATAAATACACCTTGAACCTAGATAAATTTTAAGTTAAAATCTGTGTTGGCGACAAATCGAACTAAGTAAAACAATTGATCGGCTCTAGAACTAGATTTCTCTTCACTTGAAATACAACCAGTTCATTCAAAATGTTGCAAAACTCCAAGCCCTTGGTTATTATTTTTATTTTCCATCAAGCACGAATACCTCGCACCGCGTGCAGTACCCAAGCGGACACTAAACCAGCCATCGCAAGTCCCGCAGTTGCCCCAGAGCTTTTGTTGTTGTCAATCCACTTCCGAAAGTACGCCACATCGGAGTAGATGCCAGGGTAGTTTTGCAATCCGCAATCCCTTCCGAAGGAAACGACTCCCGCCAGGAGTCCTCCGCAGACCAACGGACCACCTGAGTCTCCCTGACAGGAATCCTTCCCACCTAGGTCTTCTCCAACGCAGAGCATCCCGTTCAGAATGTGTCCGTTGTAGCTGGTCGTTCCATTGCATGACTCCAGCGATTGTACGGTAATATTGACGGCCATCAAATCCACCGTTGCCATTTGAATGCCCTTGGACGGATAATGTGCACATAATCAGAACTAATCAATCATGTTGCAGTTTCTGTTCGTACTTACAGCTTGTGTGGTTCCCCAACCGCTAGTCTGGCAAACGGTTCCCTGACTGGGACTGCTGTCGATCAACTCGATTGTCCGTAGCGTCGGATGATATCCATCCATGTTTCTGTCCAACTGAAAGCAACGCAGACATAGTTAAACCACCATAAATCAACTCTCATTCGCAATCAGCTTACAATCAACATTCCTATGTCGTTGGCAAACGATTCCGGATCGTAGCGTTCATGAACGATCACCTTACTGACGTTGAAGATCTCCGTGTTGCCCGTCGCAATTACTCGGTTTAGACTTCCGCCGACTACTCGGAAATAGCTTGCCGCACGCTTCTGGTCAGCCTCGTTCAACAGACAGTGGGCAGCCGTTAGGATCGTCCGGCTGTTGATGAGACTACCGCCGCAAATGTGACCACTACCGAACGAGGCCAGGTCGTTGGATTTGCGCCGGATAGAGACCTGATGCCTCGTGCTTGCCTGTATCGCCGGAAAGCCACCAATGATTTTCAAGTCGTCCGCTCCGACGGTGGACATTACCACCATCAACGAAAAGGTAAGCGCTGCTGAAGTCCACATGTTCCTGAAGGTGCTTGCGATGATACTGCAGGTGGAAAACTGCGCAGGATAGACACTACAATCGATAGTTAGTTAATATACGTTATCGGATCGGGATTATCGCTCACTTGAGTTCTATGAGACACCTATGACACATTTCTGTTGAAATATCTACTTTTCAAGAGCCTTTAATCCGATTGTGTTAATAGATTTTACACAGCGACACGTGTAAGTTCAACCGTTTACTCTACACTCAACGACCGTCCTGGTGCCATACGATGACTTGTTGTAGCTTGTATCTATCGTTTGTTTTTGTGAATATATAGTAATAGCACAGACAAACAGACATAACACTCTCAAGTTGTTCATCGAACAAGCATTTAACGGACAATTTAAAAGCATCGTAGTTGGTAGTACTGCCACTAGTGGCGCGCATAGTCAATCCCCTTGCGTCTGACGTTTAAACACTACCGCCATCTGTTCAGCGTAGTGCCCACCACAGTGTACTCAACAGATGGCGGTAATGTTTTAACGACGATGTTTTACAGTGAGACATACTAAATGTGTTATGTCTGTTTGTCTGTGGTAATAGGTTCGATTTTAGTATCGCACGATTTTTGACATTGTAACTTTCCACAAATTTTGATACTTGCAAACCTTATTATTATGTGATCACGTCCAAAGCTTCATAATTATCAATTGTACAAGTATCGCCGACAATTTTGTGTTGTGACAAAAATGTTCTGCATTTCACTGATTCATTGATGGATACACAAACTTGTTGAACATACTCTTTATTTCTTGTATTTGTGTGGTTTACATTACTTATCAAGTGACACAGATGCGTCTTTTCAACTTTGGTTCTTTTGTATTTCAATTATTATTAGTTACAGTTCCTAGTCCTATCAGGCCTGTTTTAGAGAATGACCACCTTGGTTTTAAATTGGAAAAAGGAAACTATTTATAACTACTATTTACAACTACAACAAACTTACAACTACTATATACACCTAATCTACTAAATACAAATTGCTTTTCATCGAACAACATCCCGAGATAGGTTACTTCGGCGGACCACTCAACCCTTGTGCCATTCATGATTACAGTACAAGATGGAGCCGGTTTCAGTTTGGGCGATTGCCGATGAAGGAACATGATCGCTTGAGTTTTGGAGGCATTGATTTTGATTTTCCACGTGGTGGCATAATCAGCAAAGGCGTTAAGGCATCGTTGAAGTTTGTTCGTTATTTCGCGAAGCATCCTTCCTTTGATGGCTATTGCGGTATCACCGACAAACCGACATGAATGACCATAGCAAAAGCAACAAAATTTCTGACCAAAGTACAATACTGACATCTGGCTCCATGTGCGCGAGAAATATTTAGCTAAGCCATGCTAAAGTTATGAATTGGTTCGTTTCTAATCTATTCTGGACAAATGATTTTTTATCTAGATCAACAAATCCTATTGTTTTGATTCGGATCACTGCACATTTAAATCGACCGTTTACGATTTTCGGGCATGAGTCAGAACTAAGTGTCATGTCGGTTTGTCGGTGGCGGTATCATCAGGAAAAACACGCAACCGTCTCCGAAGGGAGGAATGTCGGAAGTGTAAATGCTGTAAAGCAAGGGGTCCAGCAGACAGCCTTGCGGGACCCCTGCTGGGATGGAAAACGTGTCTGAAAGACAACCATTCAACGATACCTTAAACGACCTTTGCAGGAGGTAGTTACGGGTGATTTTAACCAGATGTAATGGGAAGTTGAAGTTACAAAGCTTGTACACAAGCTTTATCCTTCCTTCTTCCTGGTTGATTGTTCGTAGATGCCTGTTTTCGGGTGCGCTTGTTATCCTCGCGTTTAGGGCACTGCTTGTCGGATTTTTGGTGAGCACCACCACAGTTGGCACATTTGGACTCCACAGCTTCATCCGCAGCACATTCGGAGGTGGTGTGGTTTTGAGCGCAATTGCCACAGCGTGGCTTAATGTTGCAGTTTCGGGTGCCGTGTCCGAAGTTCAGACACCGTTGGCACTGAGTCACATCGTGATGGCCGCCACGATATGGAATTGATGGAGCGGATGGCTTTCAGTGCGTTGAGCGTCACCGTTCCCTTCTGGAAGTGTACCAGGAAAAGGCAATCCGGATACGCCTTCCTTGTCATCCGATAGACGGCGCTTGGGGCCAGCTTGTACCGGTTCCTGATTTCATGTTTGGTAGGCCCCTGATGACGACCTTGAACAGTTTCTCACCGGGAATGTCGTGGGTGAAGAATTCCACCTTGGAAGTCGTCAGGTGGGCGACGACCAAGTCATACTCCGCTTTCGTATGGAGCACAACCTTGGTACCGACTCTGCCCAACTTGAATTCGGCTTTGCGGCGCCCAGCGACGCCAGATCCGCGTTGAGCTCTTTAAGATGGGTATTTTTCACTACCAGCGGAGGTAGCTTCACTCTTGCCGCGCTCATGTCGGTAGCGTTACCGAAATCTTCGTTCGTCGCAGAGGCATCATCGCGAGCAATCTTGCCATCGAACTGGCCTCGATTCTTCTTTCTCTTCTTGCTGCGTTTTTCCGTCACAGCTGGCTGGATATTCCCATCCATGGGGAGAATAGCAAAACTGTTGGATGTAAGTACACCCGAGCTTCCTTCACCGGACTTCGCGAGCGATGCTTCCCCATTTCGGGGCACGCACACAAAAAAAAACCGCAAACACTATCGCCAAAAACTTTTCGAACAACTCGAGAGAGCGAGCTAACATCGAACTGAACTGCTTGACGTGACGATCAAGCAGAGAATGAGGTATGTGCAATATTGCTAAAGGAAATATTTATTAAGTACGACATGCTCTAAGGGCAGGGGTCTTTAGAAATGTGTGACAAGCAGCGAATCCAAACTCATAAAGCAACTAACGATAAAGACAAAACGCTTGCTACTACTACTACCAGCACGAGAAGCTCTCTCTGTAATATAGCTTGATCGGAGTTGTACGCGATGAACGCTTCCAGTAGGAAAATGAACGACGTCATCGAATGGGGCATCCTGATTGGCTGATGCAGCCGAAGAAAGAGTATAAAAGCAAACAACATTGCAATTCATTTCGCGACTGGACGTGGAGAGAAGAATCATTCTCTGCTTGAACGTCAAGCAGTACAGTTCGGTCTTTGTTCGCTCTGTCGAGTTGTTCGAAAGTTCTAGTTTGTTCCAAACATTCGCAGTTTAATCGCGTAGTGTCGGTCGCTTCGTGTGATGGGAAGACAGCGCTCCCGGAGCAGGCTCCGTGAGAAAGCGGAAAAGAAGAACAGTGATGAGGGTAGCTTGAGTGTACCTATTTCGAATAGGTACGCTACGCTTCCCACCGATGTTGGGAATACCAACCCAGTCCCGGTGAAGCGGACGAAAAAGAGGAAGAAGAATCAAAGACAGTCCGATGGTACGAGCGGACGCGACGATGTTACCGCGACGAACGCCAGCGACATTGGTGATTTCGGCGACGCCGTCGAAACCGAGAATTCTGCCGGCCCGAGTGCGGCAAAAGTCAAGCTTCCTCCACTGGTGGTGAAGGTAGTGCCTCTCAAGACGCTCATTAGCGATTTCGCATCGCTGGGCATCGCAGCTGAGTACAAGATCAGCAGGATCGGCACTAAGGTGATGCTCCGGACGAAAGCGGAATACGAAATTGCCGTCAAATTTCTGAAGGATTCCAATGCGGAATACTTTACGCACGACATCCCCGGTGAGAAGCCCTTCAAGGTAGTCATCAGGGGTCTACCGAATGTTGATCCCAAGGCGATCGAAGAAGAACTCAAGGACCGGTACAAGCTGGCCCCAACCGCTGTCTTTCGGATGACGAGGAGAGACGAAAACGTGAAGACGTACCCGGATTGTCTTTTCCTGGTGCACTTCCAGAAGGGATCGGTGACGCTGAATGCGCTGCAGGCTATTCGCTCAATGTACTCCATCATCGTACGATGGGAGCCGTACCGTGGAGGCCATCGCGATGTGACCCAGTGCCAACGATGTCTGAACTTTGTACACGGCACTCGCAACTGCAACATCAAGCCACGCTGCAGCAACTGCGCTCAAGAACACGCCACTTCCAACGGCCCTGCGGATGGAGCCGTGGCGTTAAAATGCGCCAACTGTGGTGGTGCACATCAAGGTTCTAACAGACAGTGCTCCAAACGCAAGAATTTCAAACGCATCCGAAAACAGGGGGCAACTAATAACCAACCAGGATGCAAGAAGGACAAAGTCCTGGCATTTCGGACGGAGGATTTCCCGCCTCTTCGTGCTCCTCAGCAAAGGCAAGCGAATTCGCGGGTGCATCCCACTCAAGCAACTTCCGGTGATTCTGCTGGCCAAAGCTCTCCATCCCCCCCTGGATTCTGGAGACAACCAACAGCGCAAAACAACAACCCCGATCTGTTCTCAGCGGATGAACTGATGAAAATTTTCGTCAACATGTCCGGTGCTCTTCGTAAGTGCACCGATAAGACCGAACAGATCCAAGTGCTCGGTAAGTTCATCATCCAGTATGGTGTCTAAACCGCTAACCATCGCTACCTGGAACGCTTGCTCTGTAAAAGCAAAACAGATTGAGCTTGCCGACTTCCTCCGCAAGCACAGCATCGACGTGGGCCTTCTAACCGAGACCCAACTAAAGTCCGGCGACAACTTCTAGTTGCCTGACCACAACATTATCCGGCTTGATCGCACCAGCTCCAGGGGGGGGGGGGGGTGGTGTTGCGGTCGTCGTCAAGAAAGGAATAAAATACCACACTCTGTCCCATATCCGCACCTCTATCATCGAGGCCCTTGGTGTGGAGGTGGAGTCGTCGACTGGATACGTCCAGTTCATCGCCATCTACTGCCCTCGACAGTGTGCCGCCAGCAGTGGACTAGCGGCTAAAATCAAGAAGGACCTGTCCACCATCACCTGTACCGGTTCCCGCTTCGTAGTTGGAGGAGATCTGAATGCTCGCCATGAAGCCTGGCGGAACTACCAGCAGAACCAGAACGGTCGTCTGCTGTTCGACCACTCACAGCATGGGCT